AGGTGTAACCTGGTATTCTCTTTACAGCAAATTTTTACTTTCATTTATGTAAATAAATAATTTACTTTTAAAAGTAAATTTTTACTTTTTATTATTTTTATTTAAAAATAATAAATTTTTTAAAATAACTGTTAAAATATAGTTGTGTATGTTAGTTATACAAAGGGGTTTCACTGTTTTTCTTTCTTATCCCCGCACCCCTTTTTAAAACAATTGTAATGGATTTCATTATTGTTTTTTCATACCTTTGAAATTGGCGCTGGTGCAGTCTGTGACCAGAAGATCCTGGTTTTTGTGCTCCAGATGGAAGAATCCAAGCAGAGCACGTGGGTGGGGTGAGGTAGGGTAGCTTTATTGAGAGAAGGGGAGAAACTTGTTTTCCCACGTGAGCAAAGGGAAGGAGAAGCAGAGGGTACGGTGGGTGCAGGTGGAGTCCGCAGGCTGACAGAGTGTGTTTTTTTTTTCAGGTGCCTTTAAAACCTACCCTGTGGGAGGGCAGGCCCAGGAGGTTCCCACCCAACAGTGAGCGAGTGGGGAGGGACATGGGTGATTCCCAGCCAGGTGGGGGGGGGTCTGGCCCATCCCCCGGCAACCTGCATGAGCTCCAAACTTTTCCTACTTCTAGCCTGCCTCACATTTCATATCAACTACTTCGATGACTTGCAGGATGTGCCGTGTTTTTATCCAACTGGCAATGCTGCAGGTATGCATACACCAGCCTCACCACTGACACACTGACACACTCAGGAGAGTGTGGTGCTGTGGCATTGTGACTAACAGTGTTAGTAGGCAACAGGAAAAGTTCAGCTTTATTATAATCTTCTGGGACCATGGGTGTTGTAGACTGAAATTTTGCCACTATCCTTGTATTTTATATAATACTTCAAAGTAAACACAGACAAATAAAAATGTTGAGTGTTTGAACAAAACCATAAGCAAACAGAAGTGACTATTTACAGTCTGGAGGAAGGCCTTCTGAACATGGAGTCAAAGGGAGGAAGAAACTGACTGAGCTCATCTTTTGCAAAAGAGACGCAAATGCCAACAAGTAAAAAAAAAAAAAAAAAAATCAGGCTGCAGCGTCAACCCAAAAAATAAATTCTGAAGATGCCAAGACCACTAGAAAATTGCAAGAGGATTGGGGTACCATAAGAGAAAAATGGCCACAGAGAGGACATTCCTAATGGCTAACTACCAGATGAAACACTCACCACTGCAAACCAGAGAAATGCAAATAAAACCAAAGAATTAAACACATATTCAAAATATTTTTATTAACAACTTTAGACTATTAATTACAACTACAATAATATCCTGACTTAATATTGATATAAATTCTAAAAAAAATTTTAAGAACTGCTATCCCATAAATGTGTGTAAACCTAAATAATTCTTTTTTTCTTTTCTTTGTTTTCTTTTATTTCCTTTCCTTTCCTTCTGTCTTTCTTTCTTTCTTTTTGGAGACAGGGTCTTGCTTTATAACACAAGCTAGCCTTGAACTTGAGATCCTCCTTCCTCTGCCTCCCAAGTGGTAGGATTTCAGGCCACCATTCCCAACTTGAATAATTTCTTTAGCGATATTAGACTTTAATACAAATACAAGAATCATTAATAATTAGCACTTTCATACAATACGCATTGCTTACATTGGCTTTCAAAATTAGAACTTTAAGATAACATTGATTTGTTGTATTATCTACTCCCAGGAGGTATAAATTTTGGTCTGGCCTTTTAAAGAATAACAACAAAAAAGTCTCAAAGTCAATGCATTAGGTTTCTACTATATATGGAAAGTTCCATTGATTCAGGCCCCATGTTGGCTGAGGCTGGGTGTGGCAGGAAAGGGTACTCAGGTGACCATGAGTGTTACAGATGGTTCCAGAACTCGCCTGGCAGGCTAGGCCGTGCATATTGGTTGTGCTGGTAGATTCTTCCCCCTGTTTTTACACAATGGCTTTGTATGAGCACATGTGTGTATCCCTGTGTGTGTGTGTGCTTGTATGTGAAGACGATAGTACATGATTTGAATGTCACAAGTAAAGAGAAAAGGAAGGCAAATGCTGGCTGGAAACTCGGCAGCTGGCCCAGGAAAGCCTTTGGCCAAGATAATAAGAGAGACAATTGAGGATTTCTTGCTAAAGATCAACTTTCCCATGGAGCAGAAAGAACGCTGGAGCCACAAGACAAAAGGCACGCATCTTAATCCTGACTGTCATTCATAAAACACCTTTGTCTATTCAGAGCGATTTTAGTACTTGGCTCTGTGGGCCAGGGTAGAAAAGAACAAAAAGGAATTTTTATAGAGTTACACTTGCAATGAACCCAGCTTTCTATGAAAGAATTTGAGCCAACTTCATTTATACTTTTTAAAGCTTCCAGGGAACAATTTAAAAATTGATGATTTGTTAACTGATTTCAAACCAGGGATGGAAGAAAAAGATAATTGGATGCTTAGTTTTTAATGAGGACCACTTGCCTGGCTAAAGGGTATTTCCCCTTGAGCTCAATAAATACATTAAACACCTGTCAACTCCAGTCATAAATACTTATGGAAGTCAGTCACTGCCCTCACCGCACCCCAGCAAATGACGCAGAGTGGATGGGGACAAACTATTTGCTTGCACTGAGTTATCTGCCTTAAGCCTTTTCCCTAGCCAAGATTTTAGAAAATGAATGCATATGCTCTCAGAAGCCAAGGCTAGGGAACTGGGATAGGACTCCAACTGCAAAAAGGAGGCTCAGCAACATGCCAGTCTCCTCCAGAGGCCTCCTCCCTCTAGACGTCAGCAGAGAAGCTGTGAGCAAATATTTACCAGCAGTGCCTCTGGCTGGGCTGTCTCAGCAGAGAGGAAATAAGGCATCTTAAGCAAGCATTGGATTGCCAATCCAGCAGCTCCTAGATACAGTCCAACATCTGCTCTTGAATTGCGCAAGGACTTCTCCAAGCACCCCTCCCCCTGCTCTTAGGATGCCTGTGCTAGCTCATTTTCCAGCTGTGTTTAGTCATGGAATTTCCAGAGCTACTCCAGGAGTGGAGCCATGGCCAATGAGTCAGATTTTTAACTCGTGAAAAGGATTATGTGTTAGGAGATGACGCTTGGGCACACAGTCACGCCTAGTCCAGATCATTGCGACAGAGGTGGAAGAGACGCTGTCATTTACAATGTCCCCATTTTAGCCCATCTGTTTTCTGTTGCTATAACAAAATACCAGAGACTACACAATTTATAAGAGTAGATGTCCAAGAGCACGGCGCCTGCATCTGGGACAGCCTTCTTGCTATGTCACAGCATTGCGAGGGCATCATGTGGCAAGGCCGAGGAAATGTGTCAGTTTAGAGCTCCCCCTTACTAAGCCACCGGTCCCATCCTGGGGGCCCCACCCCATGACCTCACCTAGTCCTAATGAACCCCCAAAGGCCCTACCTTCACCTATCACTAACATATGGATTTGGGGATTAGGTTTCTAATACATAGGGCCAGGGGGAACAAATTCAAACCCTAACTAGCTGCCGTGGTAGAATTCCACCTGCTAGCCCATCCCAGCAATCCCTTGCTCCACTGGAAACCTTTGTCCTTGACACCAACCAGTCATCCACCCAAGTGCTACTACAGAAGAATCAGAGCTGGGGCAGGGAGGTCAGTAAGTTAAGGTCTTGGTACCTCGATGCCTGTAAGTCTATCACAGATCCTCCTGGAGACAATGACCCCAACTATAAAATAAGAAGGTGACCTACTGTTACATGTGGTGTGAAATGTGGGCTGGTGTCAAGGGTTCTTGCCTTCACAGGCGGGAGAACTGGCTCATGAGGCAGCTGATTGATTTGTGAGACAAGGCTGGTACACGAAGTAGGATTTATTAGAGAGAAAGGAAAGGCTACATCTAGAGAAGTGCAGCGGAGCCTGGAAGCCAGTGGCTTCCTGCTCAGGTGAAGGCTGGGGCTTTTTATGGACGTTTTAACTCTGGGTTAGGGTAGGGGTTAGGTGGGCTCTTTCCATTGGCCATGGATTTGCATGTGGGCTCTCTTAGATGAGCTGGTCTGTTTGCCCCTTATTGGGGGGTGGGGGGCGACAAACAACCTTGAGAGCATTCTGTTTATCAGCCCTGTGGCAGATTTATGAGACCCTGTATCTCCTCCTCAGGGTGCAGGAGTGCAGATTTATAACTACTTCTCAGGGTGCAGGGCCCACAGTGCTGTCCATGGGGGATGGGATACTCACTCACTCGCCTGTCCTTTAGGTCCCCATACCCAACAGTACATCTACGAGGTCTGTAGTCAGAGCCAATTGCCAAATCAGCCAAGTGTGCAGCAGCCTCCACACTAAATGGACAGAGGGCTTTACTTTTATTTTATTTTAAAATTAATTTAATCTTTTTTTTTTTTTTTTGGTGATACTAGGGTTTGAACTCAGGCAGGCAACTCTACCACTTGAGCCACTCCACCAGCCCTTACTTTATTTTTAAAATTAATTGATCAATGTTTTGGTGCTGGGAATGGAACCCCACCAATTAGCTGTACCCCGGCCGCAGGAGTTTGATTTTAAAAAGGTAGAGACCCCATTTTTGGACATTGCAATTCCATGGGTTTGCTTAGGGCCTGGAAAAGGTATGTGTAGAAATTTTTTCCAGGTGATGCTTTTAAGAACATTTCCAGGTCTAAGTGATTAATTCATCATATAAAATGTACCAGGGAGAAAAGGAAAAACTGCACATGTCCCACGCCAGCCTGGATTGGTGGGGTCCCTGGGAAGGGGCTAGCTGTCTTAGCTTGCTGGGTTTCCATTTTCCTTTCCTTCACATTGGAGACAACCAATTGTTGCATGTGCCAGAGGCACCACGAGGACTGTGGTTTGGTTTCTGGCACTGTGATAAGCCAGCAAAAGGACCAAAATTAAATAAAATCCCTGAAAGAAATGGCGAAGAGGATAATGTGACTGTAGATGGCCAGTTCTGTCTCCCACACTCCCTACCTTAAGCCCTGACGTGTTTTTCTTCTTCAGCTGTCATAGGTGGGCTAGAAGATGACATTGTGACTCCAGGTGCAGCAGGTGGCATGGTGACCCCAGGTGTAGAAGACAACATAGCAACCACAGTTCCTACTGGAGAGCCCAGTGAGTCTGCTGGCCCGACACAGCTGGTGAGAATCCTGGAAGGAGGGGAATTTATTCCAATGTCATGTCATGCATTCACATACAAGGAGATAGATGATAGGTAGAGAGAGAGAGAGAGAGGTAATGAGAGAGCAAAATTGAAGTAATAGAGAGCTAGATGAGAGAGAGAGAGAGAGAGAGAGAGAATACACTTTTGTACAAAACTAGCATGGGCCACTATACAAAGGAGTAGTTGCGTGGCTCACTACAGGAACTACTTCTCAACTTCATCAAGTGAGGAGGCAGCTGGTGTGCCGATCACAGGCACTTGAGAGAAATAGAGCAGAGCTTCCCAAACAAGTAAAGGAACCAGGTTTTAAAATTCACAACCCAGTACAGCACAGTTTTCCATACAATAAAAAGTCCTTTTGCACGTGTGGCAATGTCATAGCTCTAAGATCCTAAAAATGTATTCTCAGTTTCTTATATCACTATAGGTGAGTGATAAGCACAGACTAGAACCAGGCACAGACTGCGCTGGGATAGACCACGTGGACTCTAAACAGACACGCATCCCAACCTGAAGAATTGTGATTGTCTCCTGTTTTAAAGCACCTGCCATAGGCAAGGCAAGATGCCAGGTGCTGGGAGGAGTGGAGGGGGTGGGGAACCACAGCCTCAACCCTGCAGAGGCTTACAAACATTGGGAACAGAACAGTGTTCTGTTCAGTGCCTGTGGCACCACCATACCCTTGCTTTATCTACTTGAGTTCTATTGGCCTTTCTGACCTTAGAACGCCAAGCTTGTTTCTACTTGGGTTTCTGTGCTCTCTCTGCTTAGAGCACTGCCCCTTCCTTCCATGGCTGACTTTCTCATGATTCTCAAGTTCAATGTTATCTCCATAAGAAATTATCTAAAGTAATCCCACCCCCAACCCAGGAGTTACTCTCTAGCCCCGAGGTCGGCAAATACCCATCAGATGTGGCCCACAGATGTTTTTGTAAATAAAGTTTTATTAGAACACATTGGCCATCCAGTGTTGAACTGTCTTGCAGCATTTCCACATAACAGCAGAGTGAGTATGGTCTGCAAAGTTAAAAAATTTAGCAATTTGGCCTTTAGAGAAAATGTTTGCCAACTATAAATCTATTCCAGTCTAGTTGATATTTTGTTCAAAACACTTGAAGTCATTTAAAATTATCTTTTGTATTTGTTCATATGCTCAGTGTCCATACCCTGCCATCCAGCCCTGGAATGGAAGCTTTGGGAGGGTAGGGTAGGCTAGGGAATCTCCATTACTCGTATTGTATCCAGGGCCTCAGAACCATGCCTGGTACTCTTCAGCATGTGGTTTTATTGTGATTAAAAGAAAAAAAAAAGTGCAAATGCCAGTGCTCACACCTGTAATTCTAGCTACTTGGGAGGCTGAGATCAGAAGGATCAGAGTTTGAGGCCAGCCTAGGTAAATAGTTCTAGAGACCACATCACCAAAATAATCAGAGCAAAATGAACTGGAGGAGTGGCTCAAGCTGTAGAGCTCCTGCTTTGCATGTGTGAAGCCCTGGGTTCAAACTCCAGTCACACTAAAAACAAAAACACAGAAGTAAAATTTTCCATCTTAACCATTTTAAGTATATAGTTCATAGTGTTAAGTACATGCATATTGTCAAACAGATTTTCAGAGCTTTTTTATCTTATAAAACTGAAACTCTGTACCATTAAACAATAACTCCTCATTCTTCTCTTTCCTTAGCCCCTGGCAACCACCATTCTACTTTCTGTGTCTATGTCTTTGACTTTTCTAGGTGCCTCATAAGTGGACTCACACAAGAATTTCTTTTTGTGACTGCTTTATTTCACTTTGCATAGTTCATGTTGTCAGAATTTGCTTCCTTTTTAAGGCTGGATAATATTCCATTGTACATGTATTCCACATTTTGTTTATCCATGCAACCATGGATGGATGCTTGGGTTGCTTCCACTTCTTAGACAGCCTGATTTGTCATTTGGCCACACATCCGGAAGTGCGATTGCTGTGTTTGTCATTCTGGGTTACTACCACACATTTCTCCATGGCAGCTATACCACTTTACACTCCCACTAATTGTGCAAGGGTGCCAATCACTACACATGCTTGACGACACTTGAAATTTCCTGTTTGTTTTTTTAATAGTATTTATCCTGGTAGAAGTGGGTTGTATCTCATTGTGGTTTGATTTGCTTTCTCTATTCATGATGTTGAGCATCCTTCTTTGTGTTTGTTGGCCATTGGGATGTCATCTTTGGAGAAATGTCTGTTCAAGTCCTTTGACCCATGTTTAATTGGATTATCTGAGATGGCTTTTTTTATTATTTTCTTTTATTTTTGAGTCGTAAGAGTTCTTGTTGGTTTTTGGTTTTGTTTTTCTTTGTTTTTTGAGGCAGGGTCTTTGTAGCCCAGACTAGCCTTGAGCTCAATATCCTCCTGCCTCAGCCTCCCCAAATGCTGGGATCACAGGTGTGTGTCAGCATGAGGGACCCCATTACAGGAATTCTTTACACCCCTATCAGATACATGATTTACAAGTATCGCCTCCCTTTTCATTAGCTGCCTCTCTACCCTGTTGGCGTGTCCTCTGATGTACACAAGCTGCTAAGTGACTGCCTGTGCTCACTAGTACACCTGTTAAATGCTACCTTAGCACTGGCATGAGCTTTGGGATCAGTAGAATTTTGGGATCTTCAAAATGCTGGCAGACTTTTTTGTATGCTAATGGGTTGGCTAATAGCTGACAGCCCCTAGGTAGCTTCAGGATTGGGACTGGCCACCAAAGACCAACGTGGTATCAGACAGTTGGAACGGTCAGACACACCCACAACATCCACGGAGGAGACAGGGGTCAAAGTGTAAGTTGAAGTTGCTCACCATTGGGCAATGATTTAATCAGCCCTGCACATATCTCCTTAAAAACTCCAGACAGAGTTCAAAATGCTTCTGGATAGGTCCCTGGAGGATGGTGCCTTGAGCAGGCAAGGAGGCTCTGCACCCTTTCCCACACCATCTCACCCTGTGTATCTCCTCGTCTGTATCCTTTGTACTATTAACTATAATAAACCAGCACATGAACAAACAAACAAAAAAAGTCCTGCTCTGTCACTTAACTGCTGTGAGTCTAGGTACAAATGGAGACTGGCTACCACTCTCCTTGAGGGAGGGAAAGCATTAAAGATAATGCAAATATGTACCAAATAAATGTTGCAGGGGAAAAGTGGTATTCAAGTTCAAGGGAAAGAAAGAATTAAAGCCTTGTGATCCAAAGTTTTTGGAAGACTTAAGAGCCCAGGAAGTCTGCACGCCAAACATTTGGGATTCATTTCTGGAGCAGATCTGGTTTTATACCTGTCTGCACCCTTGCTGTTTCTTTTTGTTTGTTTTCTTATTTCCACCCAGAGTTTGTGCTAACATGTTTTGTTTACACCAGGAAAAATCTTTTCCTGTTCTAAGTCAGACTGTACATTTTGAAACATTAACCCTTATTTTCTATTTTGCCTCATTTACATTTCTAATAGGTGCCAAGTGCAGAGAGTACAAAAAACACTCACATTGAGGATGGGCCAACCCCAGGCAGCTCAGTCCATATTCACAAAGAAAGTCAGAGCCCCACCACTCCACACATGGCAACCAGTCACTCTGTGGATAAGAAGACGAGTCACCCCAGTCAAGGTTGGTCTACTTTTGTATAATATGTACATCCCAACAGCCTGTGGACAAAAACCATAAATCAGTAAGGGACAAGAGTGAATTCTGAACCAAGCTTTGTGTGGTGGGTTCAGAATTCAATTCATAAATTGTTAAGTCAAATTTAATTTATTGAGAAGCTGGAAGTATCTCTCTACCTTCAATGATAACTAGTAATAACGCTCCTCCTAGAGTGAGCGAATTGGCTCCTGGTGTTCGGTTGCTGACCCTACATTTACAACTTTGTGTGGACACCTAAGAGCATGAAACTCATCCAACCCATGTAAATCTTAATAGAGTCCATCTAATGTTTTCCATCTTACATAAAGTTTATAGCTGTACAGGGGGCTAGAATGGATTTGGGGTTGGGTTTGTTAGTCACAGTTGGCACCTGCAGCAGTATGGTGGAGAAACCAGTGGGACTTCAGGGTTTTTGCCATGATCATGAGATTTCAGCCATCACAGCTGAGCACAAGGAAAGATCATGCTCAGCTTAGCCATGGATAGAGATCACTCCTATTTTTAGAGATATCTTAAGAAAAATTCACTTATTTGATTTTTCAGTGTGCCTTATTTTGCTAGTAGGAGAGAAAATGACCCAATCCTCCAATAACTTCTTGTTAACTTGAGGCGTTTTCTATGAGTCATTTCATCTCGTTAGACTTTTATGTGCCTGTCTCTAAAATGAAAGCAAATATAAAGATTGCACCTAAAGCAATAGTTCCCAAACCAATTGTCCATCTAAACACCTAGAAAGTTTTGTTGTTGTTGTTGTTGTAATGCTAGGATCACAGCACCCAGGTAGAGTGCTAAGCAAGTGCTCTACCACCACACCTGTGGTGTTCACTTTTGTTTGTTTCTTGAGATGGGATTTTGCTATGTAGTCCTGGCCAACCTCAAATTCATGATCCTCCTGTCTCAGCCTCCCAAGTATCTGGGACTACAGGCACATACCACCATTCCTGGCTAGAAATTTATTCTTTATTATTTACTACATTTCTGGGCCCAATTGCCAATCTAGTTTTAAAAGTTCTACAGCACTTCTGAAGATGAATGCTTTTAGATCCAGGTGTGATGGTACGTGCCTGTGAGCTCAACACTCTGGAGGCTGAGGCAAGAAGAGCATGAGTTCAAGACCAGCCCCCAGCTACAGAGGAAGACCCTATCTCAAAAAAACAAAACAAAACAAAATGCGTTTATATCTGTATTCCTATTTTCATAGCAGTATTATTCACAATGGTTGTAATATGGAAGCAACCCAAGTGTTCATGAAAGATGAGTGGATAAATAAAGTATATAGCCATAAAAAAGGAAGGAAATTCGGACACATGCTACAGCATGAGTGCATCTTTCGTGTGTGTGATACTGGGGCTTGAACTCAGGTCTTGCACTTGATAGGCAGGTGCTCTACCTCTTAAGCCATGCCCCTAGCTTTGTATGAGTGCATCTTGAGGACATCATGCAAAGTGAAATAAACCAGCCACAAAAGGTGACAGGTAAGAGTCTACTTCTATAAGGTGTCTAACACAGCAGTGTTGACAGAGAAGGAAGTAGAGTGGTGGTTGCCTGGGGCTAAGGGAAGGGACGAATGAGAAGTTATTGTTGAGTGAGTGTAGAGATTCAGTTTTGCAAGATGAAAAGAGTTCTGTGGTCTGAGGATGTAGCTCAGTGCATGCATGAGAGAGGGGAAGAGAGAGAGAGAGAAAATGGACAGACAGAGACAGACCAAGAGGTCTGTGAAAGAACAGTGGTGACAGTTGCACAACAATATGCAGGTACTTAATCCCACTGGACTGTACACTTAAAATGCTTAATAAATTTCACGATATGTGTTTTAACCACAATTTTTTAAGGAAAGCTTTATAAAGTGCCTTTTTTATTCTGTTTTTTCTTACTTTATTTATTTTGTGTGTGTGTAGTACTCTGGATAGAACCCATGGGCTCTATCCATGCTAGGCACGTACGCTACCACTGAGCTACACCTCCAGCCTTAAGTGCTTTGAAGTGAAGCCAAAGGGTAACACCAAACAGAACCAACTAAGGCTAAGCAAGAAAAGAGTAGTCAATCCCAGTGATCATTGGGGTGCATTTCAAAATTGTAGAGAATTACTCATTTGTCATATGAGTTGACAGCTAGCTAGCCACATGGAGCAATCCATGATGAACATTCATTCTTCCTGTCACACCAGGACAGCTCTTTCTATGCCTTAAAAGAAAAAGAAAATCTCAGTTACCTGGACAATACTCTTTATTCTCCATTCTTGCCCCCTCACCACTTTGCTTCAAAAAGTGTGACATGGGGCACATCTCCATCTCACATCACGTTATCCCAAGATGGCACTATAAGCACTTGGTTTTTAAGAGGTAATTTTATTAGGGCAGGAGATGTCCAGTTCTTCCATGGAACGCCCAAGTGCATTGATGTTTACACACATGACACATGCTCATGGTCACAGTCAGTGTAATTGGAGGGAGTGGGGGGGGTGGAATCCAGGACTAATAAGCTCTAAATTAGTGAGGAGTCTTCCACAAACTTACTTTGTTTTTGATAATGCATTTTCTAACCATTGATGTCTTTGGTGGTGATAATGGATTTTGAGCCTGGAAACAGCAGCCACCAATGAGGACATGATAAACAAATGGCTGGCCTGTCTCTGCTGGCAGTTGGCTGCCAGGGTTGGCATTCGGAAGTTGATTCAATGACATCTTTGCTCTGGGAATGCTGAAACCCAGCATCTTCCTATTATTTTCCGTGGCAGAGTGGCACTGTCAGCTTGTGCTCGTGTAAGTGTTTCAGAGCCTGAGTTCATGTCCATGCAGAGCTCCCAGACTATGCAGGGGAGCTAGGTTCTGGGTTCCTGCCCCGGGGCCATCTTGGAAAGGTATGTCTTTTGAGCAGAGCTTTGGCACAAAAGGGATGGCTTATTTCAAACGCAATCACTAGAAACAATAAGAACCTTTCACCTGATGGTGGGCTGGAGTGTTGAGAAAAACACCTCAAACTCAAACTCAGGCTCCTTTTCCTGCTCAGCACAGATCACTTCTGACACCAGAAATGTGGGGGCTACCTCCCACCCCAGCACCAAGCAAGCAATGAATTCTGCAATAGGCACCATCTAGGGGTCCTCCTGTCCAGTTCAGTTCTGACACTATCTACCTAGAGTTGCCATCTGATCCCATAGGTGTCTGGGTCCCTGAGGTTGCTGCCCTCCCCCATCCCCCTACACCAGTTGCCCCAGGTTTGAGCCCAGCCTGAGCTTCTTACTAACCAGCTACAAGTCAGGATTCCCACAGCTGCCTCCTTAGATCAAGTTCATTTGCCTGAGCAGCTCACAGAACTTAGGGAACCCGCTTACCAGTTTATTGTAGAGACTATTGCAGAGGACACAGATGCAGCAATGGACAGGATGAATGCGGTAAGGGGAAGGGGGCAGAGCCTCCATGCCCTCTCTTGGCACTACCCTTTAGGAACTTCTATGTGTCCAGCTGTCTTGAACTTCTCCAAACCCTGTCTTTTTTGGATTCAATGGAGATTTCATTGCATAGGCATGATTAAACCATAACAACCATGTTATAAAGTGACTGAACAAAAAGACTATACGCTAATGCTAATAGACTGGAAGGGAACCCAGTAAGCCTATCTGTTTAGATGCATTCTCTGTGCAGCATTCCTTCCTCCAAGGCATGAGGCAGGACCCTCTGGAATGAGGAGGGTCTATGACCTGTTATTGGACAAGGGTAGGTCATAGAAAAGCAGGGAAAGATTAGTTTCTTATCACTTTTTTCTTCCTTCCTTCCTTCCTTTCTTCCCTCCCTCCTCCCTCCCTCCCTTCCTCCCTCCCTCCTTCCTTCCTTCCTTGCCTCTTCTCTTGTAGTGCTGGGGATTGAACCCAGGGCCTTATATTGGTCACGCTAGGCAAGCATTCTACCACTCAGCAGCACCCTCAGCCTTAGACTTTCTCTGACCTGCCTTGGGAAAGAGGAATTCTATTTCCTCTGGCCTACATTGGGGAGGGTATTATGAGCCAGGAACCAAGTATGAAAACCAAAAGCCATATATCATAGTATCACAGCTAGTTTTATCTTTGATTAGGGAGGCTATTAGTTATCTAGGATATTTTGACAGCTGTGAGCTAAGATCCTAGCAAAGGGCCCATTATTCACCTCTTTCCAGTTTCTCACTAGATCAGTACACCTTGGCAAATAAACTCCACTTTGAGGAGTTACAGACTCCGTATATAAACAGGATAATGGGAGAAACAAAACAAAATATCTTCTCTGTGTGTGTGTGTGTGTGTGTGTGTGTGTGTGGTACTGGGGTTTGAATTTAGGGTCTTGTACTTGCTTGGCAGGCACTCTACCACTTGAGCCTCACCCCTAGCCCACACCTTTATTTTAAAGTAGGAATTGTGTGAAATTATCTAAAAGAAACTCACAATGGTAAACGCTCATATTGTAACTATTGGGCTAGATTTGAGGGTAGCTAGAAGTCGTAAGGTAACAAAAGCGTAAACACAGAGGGTGTATTCTCATAGAGTTTAGCTGCCCAGTGACATCTGAACTTGTTTGCCTAAGAAGAATTATAAATAGAAACCACAAGACCTGCTCTTCCCAAATAGAATATTCTCCCAACAATTAAAAGACTAACACAATCCATCGTCTTCCATGATCTTGACATTGAGCAGTCACAGCTCTGGATTCTTTGCTACCGTAATCTCTGAAACCTTTTGATAATTTGTTTCACATCGCTGTGGCTTGGTGTCCTTGATTCTGCTTTGTAAATTGAACAAGAAAAAAATACTTCCCACAAAGGTATTATTAATGCATAGGTGTGAAATATTTATAAATTTGATAATAACAGAAAGACAGATCATGTCAGAGCTTGCTTACAAACCCCATATCCAGTTTATTTAAGAAATTACCCTTTTTGCATGTTTTGCTTAGGGTAAATTCATCTTTTGCCAACTGTTAAATTATAGTTATTAAATCCTAATAATTCTATATCATTACATTTTTCTCTTCCCAGACAAGGTGGCTGAAGAGACACAGATAACAAATAAGAGTGGTATGTGAGATTTTGATATCATATGTGGGGAGTTGAAAAGAAAGTTTCTTTGAACTTCATCTTAGAGAGGAATTACATTCTTTCTTGGTTGCAGTCAGAAAGTGCGGAATAGGGTGCCTGCCAAAAACAGATTTCACACCTGTTTTTTTTTAAGAGGAAAAAGGGAATTCCCTGCATTTGAAAAGAAGCAGGGCTGGGAGCATAGCTCAGTGGTAAGGCACTGTCCTAGCATGGTGCCCTATCACTGTGAATAAACAAATTCACTTAATGATAGCTATGGAGAACAGAATCATACCAAGTTTACTATTACTAAAAGAAAGGAGAAGTCAACTATTGAAAAACTACTGTTAACAGTGACATCACTGTTAGGCTTGATGGATTCCAAGACTCAGAGTCTGTTCATTCGTAAGATGGTCTTAGATTAGGGCTGGGGATGTAGATCAATGGGAGAGAACTTGCCTAGTGTGCTCAAGGCCCTGGGTTTGGTCCTAGCACCAAAAAGAAAGAGTTCTGAGTCAACTTCCACTGCCTATGACAGTAGTAACAACATTTTTTGCCATGTTGAGGAAGGCTGTACCATTGTTTACATGTGACCTGTTGAACTGCAGATGTATTTCCTGTCTGGGGCTCATGCTTTCTTTTTTTTCCTCCCATTCAGATGGTTTGGTGATAGTGATCTTGGTTGGAATCATAGCTGGGGTCTTGTTAACCATTGGCTTCATCGGCGGGACCATCATTGTAGTTATGAGGAAAATTTCAGGAAGATTCTCGTAAGTAAATTCTTGTACCCAGCCAGGCACTGGTGGCTCACGCCTGGGAAGCTGAGATCAGAAAGATCACAGTTGAGGCCAACCCAGCAAATAGTTCTCAAGATGCCGTCTCCAAAATAACCTGAGTAAAACAGCCTGGAGGTGTGACTCAAGCGGTAGAGCGCCTGCTTTGCAAATGTGAAGGCCCGAGTTCAAATACCCAGTCTTCAAAAAAAGGAAGAGAAGGAGGGAGAGAGAGAGAAAAAGAGAAAGAGAAAGGGAAGGAAGGAGGAAGGAAGGAAGACTTACAGCCTTGTCATGTTATAGGTGAATGAAGCTGACCTTCCCAAAGCCCAAACCTTTGTAATAGGTTCCCCACCATAAAGATCATGTTTAAAACCCATTTTCTCCACAAATACATACCTGAAATTTCCCCAGAAGAACCAACGTCTACTTGGATTTCTAAACATAGAAAGGCAGAGCCAGAGATGACTCTTAAATTGACCTGGATTGAGATCTGTCCAGGTTTGATCTCTTGTCTTAATTTTCTAACTAAACTTTAGTTTTAACTTGAGACCTAATCTTCCCCCAACACCAACCCCACCTTCAGCCATCAGAGGCAGGTGGCTTCTGGAAAAGCATTTGCCACAGCACTGAGCCCCCATTCTAATGAGGAATTCCACTGCAGAGGGTGGGAAGGGACTTTTTCATCTAGATCCCTCCATCCATGCCTGCCCTTCACAACATCATCACATCCTCTTAGCGTTGACTATTGATGAGGGGAAGTATTCAGTTCAGTGCAGTGACTAATAATAAATCCCAGACACTTGGGAAGTAGGGATCCAAAGGATCAAGGTTCAAGGCCAAATGGGGCAAAAAGTTAGCAAGACCCCATCTCAATCAATAAACCAGGTGTTAGTGTGCCTCTGTCATTCCAGCTACATGGGTAGCATAGGTAGGAGGATGTCTTCCAAGGCCAGCCAGGGCCAAAATAGGGACCCCCTACCTGAAAAATAAACTAAAGCAAAAAGGAATGGGGGTGTGGCTCAAGTGGTAGAGCACCTACCTAGCAAGTGCAAGGCCCTGAATTCAAATCCCAGTACCACAAAGAAAAAAAGAATTCAGAGCATTCAAATTCATGCCAGAGGAAAGAAAATCTTCTTTTAGTTCTTTTAGGCTGATACTAAGTGCTGGAGCAGGAGGGAAAGGACCAGTGATGTACAGCGGGGAGTTGCAGGGCACAATTGATACAGCTGCAGATGGACCATGTTTGAAAATGCCTAGGCATCTGACCCTGGCTGGCTGTGTGAGGACAGGTATGAAGGAGGAATGAGTGGGGAGAGGAGAAGGGAGCCAGGTTCCAATTAGAAGACAGAGAAAGGACAATAGGGACAGTGCCTCATGGGGTTGCTATTCACAGTGCCAGGAAAAAGGCAATAGTCCCCTTTCTTTGTTTTCACAGGCCATAAAGAGCTGAAGGAGAATTGTCCCTCTGCCAACACGTGGGAAAACATGTCTGACTCCCCAACCCCTATCCCCAAGCTTGTGGGAGAAGATGACCTGTGGACTGCTCATCCACCCCACACAAAACCCAGCGATTCTTCCACCTGCCAGAAGTAGGCAAAGGAAAATAATTCACAAGATTTGGCTTCTCCAAGCATTTGCCTTTCGAACATTTTGTTAAACATAAATTTGATGATAGATGATTTAAAAGACACGACGTAGAAACTGGAGCAAAACTATGCAAACTAATTTGTAACCAAGACAGTATCATTCGATTGGTTTAGACTGTAATCACATCCTCGTTCTGGCCGTTCTGTTATTGTTAAAAGGCAAAGGAGTCTGAAAGTGTTTATACCCATGGAGTCCTTGGATCCAGTGCAACATCGGTAAAAGGCCCAGGCATTTTGCAATTGCTGATCTGTTGAAATGTACACATTCCAGTCTAGTTTGATTTATTTTACAAAGCCTGATGGCAGCATCCATTTTGGATCATAAACAGGAAGTCTATACTTGGGGAAGGTACTTTGTTTATCATCACAAGGTCACCAAGCAACCTCTAGGCCAGGGATGACTTGATACTCCAAGGTTTGTTCCGCCTGGCTCTTTCTGCTTCCCTGAGACATGGGAAGCCTGAGTTAAAGGATGGGTGGTCTTCTCTCTTCCCTGTGATGTAAATCCTTCAATATGGCTGCTTTATTCTATGAAGTTCTCATCCACAGATGACAAGGAACCTGTAGGACACCCCATGATGCTAGAAGCTCAACTGTTCTAGAACCAAGAACCACCCTTGGTCCTCAAGCATAAAGAAGCCCTAAGTGTGCCTCTGATGTGGGAAACCATACCTGCCAGTTTTTTTCTAACTTTTACTTTCTGCCTCTGGAGGAAAGACAGAGAGAGAAAAATAATCTTGCAATACTAATTTTATTAAAACAGTTGGGTTTAAAGACCTGATTTGAGAATAAAAGATATTCCCCATCTTCATGTCTTATCACCTGTTTCCACGGGGCCATATTGAAAGGATCAAAATAAAGGAGCCAAAGGGACCGTTCTGTCCACACTGTCCAACTCAGCACTTCTCTTCCTGTAGACACGAGTTTTTACACTGACCAGATGCTCTGCATGATTGTAGTTGTGCAATCCTGACATCCTCTAGCCCATGAGAGTTCATAAAACAGGAAAAAGTAAACCGTCCATCAGACACACAATCCATTCCTCCTGGGGTTTTTTGCTGCATCAGGGGGATGTTATTTTAAACAGTGCATCTGCATGTTCTCTCAATCCAGATAGTCCACTTTTACATCAGCTGATGGAGGGGAGTGAGTAAGAGGAGCCATATGAATTTTAATAGCTTTCAGTTTTATCATCCAGATCCCTGAATAATGACCATTTCTTCATTCCTATCCTTTCTCTTTCCTGATGCCCCCTTCTCTGTGAAAGATTAAGAGTCCACCCCCAAGTCATACACTGGACTCAGTGCCTGCTGGGACAGGGCTGTGGTTTCTTGGTCATACCTGTGATTGTATTCAATGCAGTGTAGACATGTTCTCAAATAAAACAGATGATGGTATACAAGCATGAGTCAGACCTTTGATTAGAGATCCCCACTGAGTCTGGGTCATACTTCAATGTAACTCCCAGAGTATCTGCCTGTTGGCCTGACTAAGAGGAAATTCTTGGTGCTTGTTGGATGTCCACCCACGGAAAAGAAATGCAACCATGCCTTTCACCTGGATCTCTGCCCAAGTAGAGGGTCAAACGTCAAGGGGACAAGTAGGGTGGAAGACAGATGGCAGCTTGGGGTTTCTTTTGCCCTCTTTTATCCCAAAGGTTTAGTAAGGTTTTGCCTGTCCCTTATTTCTCTGTGCTGTGGGGAGAACCCAAGTGAGGGAAGACCTTCATCCTGCACCTGCTGGTCAAGTGCTCCCTAGGGACCAGATGTCAGGTATGGAGAGCTTGCTGCCAAGAACAGGAGGCAATAATCCGAGGAGGAGGCTCCACTGCCAACCATCCTGGGCAGCAGTTCCTCACTCCAGAACCCCCATTGCTGGGATGTCCCACCATTTCCTGCTGGTCCTGATGCTGCTTGGAGTCTGCTGTGGATTGGGGCAGCGGGGAGTAGTCCCTTACTGTCTGGGATCTGCTCCAGCCACTGCCACCCCCACTGCTCCGTGGGGATTCTGTGGCTACACCCTGGGTCCACTCCTGCAGCCCCATCCCCACTTGAAAAGCTTGGGTGTCAGCAGCAGTTAGCATCCTGTCTCCCTCAAAATAAACACAGTTGAGTGTCCTTCATCTGGAATGCCTGGGACCTGAGGGTTTCAGATTCCAGATTGCTGCTCAGATTTTAGAATATTTGCATAGGGTTTACCAGTGGGGCATCCCTAGTCCAAAAATCCGATATCCAAAATGCTCCAAAATCCAAAACTAAGCATTAGTTGACTTTCAGAATGTTTTGCGTTTTGGTGCATTCCAGATTTTTGGACTAGGGATGCTCAATCTGTAAGTCAGGAATTGGTTAAATCAGGATTACTAAATTTTCCAGCCATCAGGATTTCTGGGTGCCAGGTTCACTTGAAAAGACCCAGTTGCAGTCTATTCATGGCTCCTGTCAGCTGGAACTCCTCAGCAAGTCACTCAACCTCTTTGTGCTTCTTTATAAGAACTTCTAGAGACTTCAGAAAGCTTCCTTTCTCTAGCAGAAAACCAACCATGCCTGCTAGTGCCATAACCTGAAAGAGAAAATGTCCTCTGATAGGTCAAGTGTACATTTAGCTTCCTTACGCCCATATACCCCAAGGAGAGGGCTGGATATTGACAGAACCGCCAAGGGTGCTGGAAGTTTAAGGAAGCAACTCTATCCACTCCGCCATGGAGGACATGTGGGGAGCAGGTAGTGCTGGAGTCAACCATCAGAACTCTATTAGAGCCTTGTTTTGTCAGCTTCCAACACTCCAGTGGCTGAAGCAGGAAGATCATGGGTTCAACACCAGCCAGTGCCACATAGCCCCTGTCTCAAGAAGAATAAATTAATTGACTAAAGCCATGTTTTTATCTCCTATTTCTAAGAGAATGAGTTGGAAATCAGGGCTTCAATCTGCCCAAAAGGATCAGCTTTAAGAGACAGAGAAAAAACAAGTAACTAATCTTTCATGGACTCCATCTTAGTTAGTTCATATTTGTTTAGTATTCAGGGCACAGGGTTGATTGTGGCAAATTTTTCAGTACGGGGTGATCTATATTTTGATATTAAAAGTTTTTGTTTTGTTTTGTTTTTGCTAATTAAAGGGTCAGTGAAAAGTAGAATAAGTATTTCCACGAGGTGTGGCTGGATGTTACCACTGTGTTAGAAACGCAGAACTGCACACTTGTGGCGTGTGCTGGAGGACTTGTTCCCTGAAACTTTGCATGTTCCATTGTCCTTTCTGAAGTTTAAAATCAGGTTAGAATGCATAGTAGATCCTGTTTTTAAATTCAACAAGTGTAAATGTCCAGCCATCAATACAGAATAAATTTAAAATCTTGGGGTAGAAAACTGTCCCATTGGTATAAAGAATGTGAATTTTGTCCATGGGCCCAGGTCATGTGTGGCCCGCACAGGCAAAGTGCTGCTCAAACCCAGTGAACGCTATGCCCAGCATTTTTGCCCTCTCGGGGGTCATCGCAGTAGACATGAGGTAGAGTTCTGTGTGGTCTATTTCTGCTCCCAAGGGCCCCAGCCTATAGCACACATGGTCCTGCATGCAATCCTGAGAACTTTTTCCCTCCATTTTTTTTTCTTTCTTCCTTTATTTTTGGTGGTAATGGGGCTTGAACTTAAGACCTTGTTCCTACCACTTGAGCTACAACTCCAGCCTCCATTTTTTTCCTTCCTAGATTTATGATTGTTTATAACTTCCCACTGATGCAAATCTTAAGAAAAGAGTCACATGCCAGAGGCATAGAGGAATGCCAGCAAATGTTTCTGAAATTATAGTTACCCACTGGATGCTACTGAGATAATAAAAAGATCTGAAATGTGTGTTTGAATCACTAAAAACACCTCAGGATGGTGTAAGAATGTTCTAACTGAAAAGGAATGTGCAAAGGACCTTTGCTAATCACTCATGCCCTTCCATGAACACCCATAGGTGAGTGAGGCTGGAGCACGGACAGCACAGGGTTAGCTGGGAAGGGAGTATACGGTACCATGTTTGTTCAGAAAGATCCAGAAACAAAAGACACTCATTTGAGTGGATAGTGCTGAAGAACTTCTGTGGAACAGAAATAACCAATTCATCCCACAAACTTTTATTGTCAGATCCATCCTGGGTGCTGGAGATATGTAGCAGATGAAACCAACACATCCACCTAGTGGAGCTTCCATTCTCTTGTGGGAGGCAGAGTGGATGCAAAAAATCCATTCCAGAGTGTGTGGACCACTCAAGGGAGGTAGTGGGGGAGAGAAGAGCAGGGTTAGAGGCTCTGGTGGTGAAGGCCCCACTGAGATTTGAGCAATGTTCTTAGGAGTGAGCCAAACAGGCATGAGGAGAGAAAGGGAACACGAAAGGCCTGAGGAAGGGCATGTGTTAGGGAACTCCAGAAAGCTCTGTCACTAGAGCAGAGTGGGCACCAGGGAGAGTAGAAGTAAGAGCACTGGGAAAAAGGGCTGGCGGGGTGGCTCAAATGACAGAGCGTCTGCTGCCTAGCAAACATGAGTCCCTGAGTTCAAACTCCAGTACCACCAAAACAAAAAGCACTGGGAAAAATGGTGAAAGAAAACACCACAGCACAGTTGTCATCAGCTTGAAAGTAAATAGTCAATGTAGGAATGTTTAGGGCCTATCTGCAATCAGGGCATCTGCTCAGTAAGTAGCAGCAATGATACCGGTAGTCACTGTTCACTTACTATTTCAGCCTCATTTACCCTCACACCTTCCCAGTGAGGCACGCAGGACTGAATTATCCTCCTCACAGATGAAGAAACTGAGGTCCAGACAGTTGCCTAAACCTCCAAGCTATGCAATGCTAAGAGCACACAGATTGCAGGCCTCTAGACTTGATTTACTCTCTCGTCCTTTGCCGTCTCACTCCATGTGCTATCAATGGCAGCAAGTTCCCCGTGAGTTCAACAGCAGTGCATTTTGAAGACATAATTTTTTCAGCAGTGGAAAAATAGGGAACCTATTTTTAATTGT